GTTTTGGTGCGTATGTGTGCGCTTAGTAGTAAACTTTTTCGGTCTGATAAAAAGAGAGAAGAAAAATGTGGGAGTGCTTGTCAAGGAATTGAGGATAGCCTCGGCATCGCTCGAAATGTACGCTGCTGCTAAAGTCCAGTCGCGGAGCAGGAACAATTTCGTACAATTACCTCTTTGCCTACTGACAGTGGTCACAAACATTTTTGTATTAAGTGCAATATTCGAAATAGAAAAAAATAAATTTACTAACTTATTAAATAAATTATTGTTATTATATATATTATTTATTTTGATTTTAGTATAAAAACAGTTATAAAAATCGAGTTATAATTACTAATTTGGCAGAAATAAAAAAATTAAAATTAAAAAATCAGAATCCGATTTCTCTGTATCGGAATTACTGCTTTCCGACGACGTCTCGCCTGTCACATTTATTACAAAAGAACCAATAGTTTTGTCTACATTATCATCTAGTCTATCTAAATCTCAATATCTCCACACCAACTGCTTTTGCCATCTCATCGACCACATACGATTGGTACTGAGTTTTGACATCTTTCACCTTTTCCAAAGCTAGACTTTTGTTTCCTTTGCCTCAAAAGAAATTTGCTTTGATGAAAGCCGTTTTTGAATGTCTGGTTTTCTCCAACCAGTAACTGGGATTTGCTCCTGGCGTCTTGAGTGGTAGCTGGCATTATCCATGACAACCACTGCGTTTGGCTCAAGTCTCGATAACATTGCTTGAAACCAGTTTTCGACCTTGACTGCATTCATCGATTCGTGATAATCGCCTGTACCTTTGCATTCAAATACCAATTCTGATTCTGGCACGAATCCTTTTTCACCTTCTATATATGAAAAGGTGACAGACAGACAGAGTTACTTTTACATTTATAATATTAGTATGGATTTCAGTCAGTAATTAATAAAAATAAGTCATTGTTGCTGTTGATAAGTTCATATTTTTCAAATATTTAATACGCCACAATGCTATGGCATCTCTGTCGATTAACCCGTTATTTCTCCTTAGTTTGACATACTTAAACTTGAAATGTTTCAGTAATTTTTCAACGATGTCAAGCCCATGTTTGGTAAGGATTCGTCTGCATTTAGGACATGTAGCACCTTTTTGCTGTAAAAAGGAGTTTCCTTTTAAATAAAAGCTGTGCACTATTCGTCTAATGCACTATTTATCGAACTTATCAATCATTTCTATTAATGAGAGTCGTTTTTTCGGTGATGCAGCTGGTTTGGCGGTGTCTGTTTCGTTATATTCTTTTAAAGTACGATATATAACCGATTGCGAAATGCCCAAGATATCGACTGTTTTGTCTTTCCTTTCTTTTTTTTGCAAGATATTTATCAGCAGGCCAGGATTCTTTAACGTATTTAAACACTTTAATAATCATTACATTTTCAGATACACTAAAGTGTGACATTTTTTCTTTCCCTCCGCGGAGAAACAAATTCCTTGAATGGACGCAAGGTAGACTACGCTGGTTCCATTTTAAAAGAGTGAAGAAAACAACAAATTAACAAAACCACTTAACAATTAAAACAAGATAACAAAACTAACAAACAACAACTGAGATAACTTGCGTCTGAAAACAGCGATCGCGAATGCATCCCAAGATGGAATGTCGTTCGTTCGTTATTCAAAAATTATTAATTATATTAAGCAAGCCAAGGATTTTTGATCGTGACTCAAGGCCAACCAGAAACCATATGCAAACAAGAACAAATCTTACAGACTCAGGTAGAAGGTTTACAATCCCTGAGATCGGCGGCCAGTTCAAATACTTTTAAATTCCATACTGGCAAAAGATATCGTTAAATATTTAAAAACTATTGATGTTAAGAAAACGGCAGACTTATGGGGGATTTCCGTTAAAGTTATTTTATCTATAATAGATATAATAACACCTTATCTAGCCACTATATTTAATACAAGCGTCGAATCTGGTGTGTTTCCTGATTTAATGAAACATAGTAAAGTCATACCTATATTTAAATCTGGTAGTACATTAGACCCCGCCAATTTTAGACCAATTTCTGTACCACCAACATTAAGTAAAATTTTTGAAAAAATTATTTTAGATCAGATGTTAAGTTTCTTTAATATTAATAAATTGCTACATAAAAATCAATCCTGTTTTACATGGGGTCGCTCGACAACTGACGCTGCAGTTGAGCTTATTAAACATATTTTTTGTGCATGGGAGAATTCAGAGGATGCTTTGTGTATATTTTGTGACCTTTCCAAGGCCTTCGACTGTGTTCACCATGAGACATTAATCAGGAAGTTACAGTACTATGGTGTCAAGAACACAGCGCTTAAACTTATTATTTCATATTTAAGTAATAGAATGCAGAAAGTTATTATCAATGGTTAAAGTTCTTCCGGGTCACCTGTACTAATGGGTATCCCTCAGGGCTCCATTCTCGGCTCATTCCTATTTCTAGTGTATATTAATGACTTGCTTTCTCTTGTAGGGGATAATCATGATATAGTATTATTTGCTGATGATACTTCCTTGATTTTTAAACTTAAACGTCAATCATTTAAATGTGACGAAGTGAATAATGCTATATCAAAATTAGTGCATTGGTTTAACGTTAATAATCTACATTTAAACGGAAATAAAACTAAATGTATTAAATTTACAACAACGAATGTTAAAAATCTGAGTACCAATGTGTTCTTAAATGGGAAAGAACTGAGCCCTGTTGAATACACTGTTTTTCTTGGCATCACTCGACGCAAAGCTTCAGTGGGGCCCCCATAGTACCAAACTAGCAAGCAGACTAATTTCTGCAGCCTATGCTGTAAAAAAGATTAGAGGTCTCACTAGTGCCGAGACAGCTAGATTAGTTTATTTTAGTTATTTCCATAGATTAATATCTTATGGGATTATGCTATAGGGAAATGCGGCTGATTCAGAAACTATTTTTGTTATACAGAAGAGGGCCATTAGAGCTATTTACAACCTAAAGCGAGAGAATCTCTCAGAGATAAATTTAAAGAAATAAATATATTAACTTTGGCCTCTCAGTATATTTACGAAAATTTAATGTATGTTCACAAAAACAAAGGTAGTTTTACTAAAAAAAGTGATATACCAGGCGGTCCCATAATGAACTGGCCTGATATAGTTCAACGCGACATGTCCCTACATGTTGTGTTGCATTAAATAGTACGTTTATCGTGCACTTAATATAAGAAACATGCATCGACATGAAATGCTTAGTCTTAGTTTAACAGGCATTTGAATAACGAGAGTCGCGTATTTTTTCAAAATGTCGAAAACTGAGTATCGAAGTGTCATAAAGTTTCTGTTTAAAGAAGGTTTATCCCCTGCCCAAATAAAAGAACGATTGGATGACGTGTATAAGGAGTCTGCCCCCTCCTATAGCACAGTGAAAAATTGGGTGAAAGAGTTTCGCCTCGGGAGAGAAACCGTCGAAGACTTTGGCCACGACGGTCGACCTGTGGAAGTGCTCACTCCTGAAACGATTGCTCTTATCGAAGAGGAGGTTCTGAGTGACCGCCGTTTGAAGATTAGAGAAATTGCAGCAAGGCTTGGGCTCTCTAAGAGTACCGTTCATCGCGCGATCCATGAACATCTTCACATGAAAAAAGTGAGTGCAAGATGGGTACCGAAACTTCTTTCAGCGGTACAGAGACAGGAAAGAGTGCGCTGCGCTTCGGAGTTTTTGGATCTTTGTGGCGAAAATCCAAAGACTGTGATCGAGCGGCTAGTGACTGGTGATGAAACTATGATCTTGTATTATGATCCACAAAGCAAGCGCGAGTCAATGGAATGGCGTTATAAGGGTGAAAAGCCCCCTAGAAAGGCAAAGGTGCAACAATCGACTAAAAAACTGATGTGCACAATATTTTGGGATTTTCAAGGCATTTTGATGGTGGATTTTAAAGAACGTAATACAGTCGTGAACGGCGAATATTATGCTTCTTTAATATATAAATTACGAGACAAGATAAAGGAAAAACGAAGAGGCAAGCTGTCTAAAGGTGTCCTGTTGCTCCATGACAACGCCCCTGTTCATACCGCTGGTGTTTCGAAGGATGCAGTTCGTCAATGCGGGTTCACAGAAGTTCAACATCCACCTTACAGTCCAGACATGGCCCCGTCCGACTATTATTTATTTCCAAATTTAAAGCGGGAATTAAGAGGAAGAAAATTTTCAAGCGATGAAGAGTTGCAGGCGGCCGTCTTCAGTCATTTTGAGGATAAAAAATGTGATTATTTTTATAAAGGTTTAGAGATGTTGATTCACAGATGTCAGAAGTGTGTTAGTATTCATGGTGATTATATTGAAAAATAAAATTGGTTTCGTTTCATTTCCTTCATTGGTTCATAGTTAGGCCAATTCATTATGGGACCGCCTACGTACATTCTGTAAACACTAGGAACAAACACAAGCTAGTGATGCCAGTTTCTCGACGCCACAGAGTCAGTAATTCATTCTTGGGGCAATGTATACGCTATTACAACAAGGTTCCGGAAAGTGTACAGGCTCTCTGTTACCAAGTTTAAATGTTTTGTTAAGTTGAAACTGTATAAAAGGGGTTATTATAGTATAAATGAATATATGGTTGATAATAACCCCTGGGAATGAGGTGGTCGCATCCAAGCTGTTTCTAAAATAAATTTTGTACCAATTATTAACGTAAAATATGCTTTTAAAAAAAGTCCCGCTGGGTTTCTTGCTGGTTCTTCCCAGGACAGCGGTTTTTTTTCGAACCAGTGGTAAAGTAAAAAAATACTTTCAATATGAATTACACATGTGATACTACACATTGAATAAAAAAAATATTCTATTCTATTCTATCTGCGCAAGCGAGATGCATTAAATTTACGTGAGAGTGACAGAGACAAGTAATAACAGGTAAAAGTACGAAATTCTCCCTGCTTCGCGTCGGGACTTTACGTGCGCTCCGTCTTTGTTTGTCTGAAATCCGTAATAACAACTTACAGTCCGAACGGGTCGCTGACGGTGCGTCCTTCGTGGGAAGACGAGGAGGGGGAGTGCAGGTGCGAGGGAGGGGGTGCGGCGGCGAGTGCGGGCGCGTGGGAGGGCTCGGCGCTGCTGCAGCACGGCGCGCTGCTGCAGTTCGGCTGCCACATGTTCGTGTTCAGCGTCGCGCACAGCACCCCGCCCTCCGCATCACCTACATCACCCGCATCGCCCGCATCACCCACATCACCGCCACGCTGATATCGAACCGAGCTGCTATCACGCACTCGTGTCGGCACGCCCACACTCACGCTCGTGTTGCCGTGTAGGACAAACGCACACGTTCTTGACACAACCACACACACGCTCGTGTTGTCGTCCTGGACGAATGCACACGTTCTTGACACAACCATACCTATACTTGTGTTACCGTGGCAGACAAATATACACGTTATTGACCCAAGTACACACACGCTTATGTTATCGTATCGGACGAACGCACACGTTCTTGACACAACCATTAACACGCACGTGTTTCCGTGCCGGACGAACGCAAACGTTCTTGACAAAACCATACCTATACTTATGTTGCCGTGCCAAACGAACGCACACGTTCTTGACACAACTACACACACGCTCATGTTATTGTGTTGGAAGAACGCACACGTTCTTGACACAACCACTAACATGCTCGTGTTGCCGTACCGGACGAATGCACACGTTCTTTACACAACCCCTAAAACGCTCGTGTTGCAATGCCGGACGAACGCACACATTCTTGACATAACCACACACAGGCTCGTGTTGTTGTGTCAGACGAATACACAAATTCTTGACACAACCACATCTATAATTGTGTTGCCGTGTGAGACGAAAGCACACCTTGACACAACCACACATACACTTGTGTTGCCGTGTCAGACGAACGCAAACGTTCTTGACACAACCACACACTTGAAATGTCAACTCGGACAAATGAAGTCGTTGTTATCACACATGTTAGAAAATGGCGCGCCCGCTCATTGTTGTGTTGTAGCGTAACGTATGCGGAGTGCGAAACTTAAGCTTTGTTTAATCTTCAATTGAAATGTAATTTGGAATCTTATAATAAAGGGGTTTTCAATAAGGGCAGGTAGATGTTGAAATGAATTATACGTGTGTGTAATACCTCATTAACAAAATTATTTTTTGTTTGAAAGACCCACATGTGTTATTTAGTGTGGAATATGACATCGTTCAAAGCCCGTCTCGGCTTCTTACAGTGACACGGATCCGAGTGGTCCAGTTTTCAATGACTTCTGCATATATCCGTCTGAATTTGAGCGATGGTCTGAGTTATGTTAACCTCTAAATCATCGGTCGATTGTGGTTTGTTTGCATAGACCCGCGACTTCAAGAAACCTCACAAGTGGGGTTAAATCGCATGACCTTGGTGGCCAATTCACATCACCCCTGCGGGAGATAAGTTTACCCTCTAATCGCTCATGGAGAATGTCAATCGTGGCGTTCGCTGTGTGGCACGTAGCGCCGTCCTACTAGAACCACATGTCATCTAGGTCCATATGGTTCAATTTGGGCTATAAGAAATTGGTTATCATCGTTTTGTAGCGCTCGCCGTTGACGAATATGGAACCTAACATACGCTGTGCACTCAAAAAGAATAGAAGGTTTTTAGAGAACGATTACAAGACATCTTGCCTTCATAAGTATTAGATTTTCACATAGGTGTCCCTACAAATAGCGATTGGCATTTTTTGAAATACCTTCCCTGAATAGTAGGAGAAAAATTCACGACCTGCTGGTATTATACGAGTGTTTGGTGGAGGGTTAGACGAACTTGGTGGGCCTATTTGTAAAATACAAATTGAAGTAGAAGACCCTAATTGTTCACATTTTTTTAAATTATTTTTTTTTTGAAATTTTCTAATATTTTCCGAAATTTTACCTCTACCCCTACAATTTTTTGGTACATGTTTTTGATCGAACTTTTTATTTGATTTTGGTCCCAGATGCATCCTTGATCTATCGAAGGCATCATTAATCCAAAATAATGCATAAATAATTAGTTATGGGCTAGTTAAGAAAATGAATAAAAATTAAGTCCGAAAGGTCAGGCATCGTTTAAAAAAAAAACTAATAGTGATCGAGGAGTTCAAATGCTTTTAAAACTTCTCTAATCATCGCTTATTACATCGGTGTATTACATGTAACAGAAAAGTCTATCAACTTGACAAAAATAAAGCTTATGGGGAAAATGAAGTGAAAATACAAAAGTAAAAATAAACATTTTTTTTAATTACAAATTCTGTTCAAAAACATCTCCCGTATTTCTAATACATGCGCGACACCTATGTCGGATTTCTACTGTTGCAGTACGGAGCGTCATCTAGTCTTTCATCTTTACAAAAGCAGCGTCAATTCTTTCAATTAATTGTTCCTTTGTTTGTATTTTTTCTTCGTAAACTAGCTCTTTAGCACGTCCCCATATGCTAAAGTCAAGAGGAGTCAGATCTGGGGACCGTGCAGGCCATGAAATAGGGCCAAGTCGTCCAATCCACGACTTAGGGAACGCGTTGTCTAGGAACTCTCTCTCTGTGAGACAATATTGTGCCGAACATCCATCATTTTGAAATACTATTGGTCGATCTTTATGAAATATCGGCACGTCGCTCATCAATTCAGGGAGATCGTTCTGCAAGAATTCCAAGTAATTGTCCCCGTAGTCAGGCAAGTAGTGGGGTCCAATGAGATGCCCTCCAATCACATCTGCCCAAACATTGACGGAAAGACGCTTTTGATGCGATGCTTGCCTAGTTCATGTGGATTTTTTTATAGGATAAGGGTGACAAACGAGCACACAGTCCACCTGATGGTAAGTGGTTGCTGCGGCCCATAGACATCTACATTTATCCTCGATTACGAATCAACATGCAGATGCGTTGTCACCGGTGAGAAGACTAAGATGGAATGCCTCGTTTCCAGTAAAAAGGGTATCCGGTTCTCTACACTCACCATACGAAACACAGCAGCATTAAGCCGCTATTTTACGCTGGTATTCTGTGAGAGCGTGGTCCTTCCCCGGTAGCCGACCCAATCGTGTTACAACTATACCAGAAATATAGCTGCAGCATGGCTCAACCACGTATAAATATATTTTGACCCTTTTATTCCCAGTGGTGTAGATTATGTTGGTTGAAAATCCCCTCTCGTGTAAATTTCGACTCATCCGTCCATAAAATACTCTTTAAAAAGTTTCCGTCCTCAATGTCAGTATGCAGTAACAAACGACAGAATTCATGCGTCGCGCATTATCATCACCTTCTACCAAACCTGGAACCGAGTATAAAGCCGTTAAATAAAAATCAAAACGGTTAAGTTACAATGCCATCTCGGTTATTGAGAGGTACCCATGGTATCCCAAAACAGAAAAAAAAACCAAAAGAATTCTTGTGCACGGGCAAGAGGAAAGAGGAAGACAAAATCATTTTTTGAATTGATTATTGATTCGAACTAAGACAAAGACGAGCTCTCCTTAGATTAGATAAATTTAGTAATTTACCTTGCATCGGAGTGTAGTGGAAAGGATGCCTTCCATCTGCATTGACGACAAACCATACTTTCCATATGGAAAGACCCAGATCTCTGTCCACCTTTCGAATACTGGTAGTGGAATCCTCGTTGAACGCTTGGAGTATGGCTTCGTCTACAGCAACGTGGTGCTGCGTTGCACTGACTCGTGGTTCTCGAAGTCGCCGAAAGGTATTAGAAAATGTGCTGTTGTGTGGCACACGTTTGTTGAGATGCAACTCTCTGTACAGTCTCTGTGCAGCACGTGTATTTCCAACGCATCGGCCATACGTGTAAATAATATGAGCGTATTCTTCGTTGTAATATGAGCGTATTCTTCGTTGTAATATGAGCGTATTCTTCGTTGCTGAATTCCGCCATTGTGACAACAAGACAATAACAAAAACGTAACATTTTATCAAAACTTAACAAATAACCAAAACAACAACGAAAGTTAACAGGACTAGGTAATAACAAAATGAAATGGATATGATACGTTTACGTTTCACAGTGACCGCAGTTACGACTAAACATTTAAACAAAACGGGGGCCACAGTACCGCCACAGGCGAAGATTGTGGGTCTGATATCCCATGAGAGAAAAAGACAGAAGAATGCGGCACAATATACTAAGCGAAACAAAAACTTTACCTGCTCTTGGAATGTTCGCCTCGCATCAACTACAATTATCGATTTCCTGTTGTTTTCGAAGACATCTGTCGGATGCCTAGGTATCGATAGGAAATCATAATTTATTGAAAGTAATTTTTAATAATTTAGTGTTGTATTAGAATTATTTTCTTAACTTTGAGAGCCCATAACTAATTATTTACTCATTATTTTGGATTAACGATGTCTTCTGAAGATCAAGGATGCATCTGGGACCAAAATTAAATAAAAAGTTCCATCGAAAACATGTACCAAAAAAATTGTAGGGGTAGAGGTAAAATTTCGGAAAATATTAGGAAATTATTAAAAAAAATGAGAATAATTAGGGTCTTCTACTTCAATTTATATTTTACAAATAGGCCCATCTACACGCCCGCCATGTTTGTCTAACCCTCCACCAAACATCAGTATAAAATAGTAAACGGACGGACTGCCTGCTGTGAACTACTACAATATTTCTCCCTAAATGTACCATACGATATCCCTCGTCGTCCAATAACAAAACTGTTACATACTCCTCAATCATACGCCCCGGTACCGCGAATGTGTGACACCAATAATTCACTTTGTGGGGTGTGTTGCGTAGGCACAGTAGTGTCGATATTTTTCATGATACGTTCCCTAAATATAGGAAAAATATAATAGTAATAATAATTATAAATAATTTGTGATTGATTTAATTATAATCTAATATCCATGTTCCTTACAGTTGCTGCTTGGTTATATGCATGTTTTTATTGTCTTAGTTATATTTAAGTATTATTTTGTGACATATTTCTTTATAAGCTATTGTAACTTTGCCCTGTCTTAATTTTCATAGTATTTTGTAATGCTGTGCCACCCTATAAGGGTGCATTGCTAATGTCCTGTGAATAAATACAAAAAAATATATGAAAAAAGAAAAATGGCCGCCACGGGCCGACAATTGAAAAACCCTTTACCATAAAAAAATAAGTATGCGAATAGAAAATTGCCGATAAAAGTTTAGTAAGGGTGTTTGTAGTATTTTACTGTATTTAAGTTGACTATAGTAATGTAACGTTTGTGTAATAACCCCCCGACGCAGAGGGGTGTTGTATGTTTAACTTGTGTATCTGTGTATCTATCTGTGTGTCTGTATGTGTCATCGTAGCTCCCAAACGTTTGATAAGTGGATACTGCAGCCAACTTCAAACAAAGAATGCTACAAATACGTTGTCACTTCTGTCTGTTTTTATTCCTCACTGCCTGTAATTGTACTGGCTCTCTTACCCTTCAGCCCGAAATACAGCAGTGCAAGCACTGCCATTTGGTGTTAGAAATAGGCAAAAGGATAATCTAGTTTCCATATGATATTTTTATTGTTGTAGGAGATTTAATGTTTTTCAATATTTTAATAGTATAATCATCGATCACTAATATAAAAAAAAAACTAGATACACAATCCCATGAAAAAGTTCTCTAAAAACTGTCGCCAATTGTTTTGACGTAATTCTAGTTGAAATAAATATTCATTAATGTAAATTCAACCTTAAATGGATTGCCTAAAGTTGTATTCACAAAGCTACGTACAAATTAAAAGCGCACCCAAATGTTCGAGTGGGCGCTCATTCAGTAATGACATTTTTGTCACCGATTGTGTATCTAGGTTTTTTTTTATTAGTGATCGATGAGTAAAATTCTAAATTCTGTTTCACTTTAAATCTATGCGTTATATTAGTGATGAAAAGTTTGGTGTCGTAAATATTTAGTAATATTCACTCAGTTTATTTATATATAATATAATATATATAGTTGTAGTGTGGCCCTACCACGTAAATGTTAGAATTTTTTATAACAAGTGTTTTATTTAATAATGCCAAACGAGTATTGCTCTAGCGTACATAAGTACCTATAATATGTTATTTTTTCCATGAGTTGTGCTGCCAATGTTAATAAGTTTGTGGATATAATCACTGTAGTAATTTAGTTTTAAAATAAATGTATGCCAAGTAAATTATATGTAATTTTGATTAAAAAGGAAAGGTACTCATATGAAGTGCTGCTTTTCAAACCCAAGAAAGAAGACATTATTGTTTTTTAGGTTTAAGGTTTTTGATGAGCGTTTCAGTGAGTGATAAAACTTTTCATACCCTAATAACTCAAGAACTACAATAAGTTCATTCATGAAGTTTGAGATTCTACATATGTAAGAGGTCTATAATAGGTATGCAAAATAAGTATGGAATAGTTTTTGAGTTATGGGGGGTTTGAAATTGTTTGTGTAAGTATACACACACTGTCGGTGCATCTCCCTTTTTAGAACTCAAGAACTACTAAATAGGTTCATTCATGAAGTTTGAGATTCTATTTATGTAAGAGGTCTTTAATAGGTATCCAAAATATAGTATTCTTCTGTACTTCGTTAACACACTGCCATGTGTCTAAATAATGATAAATATACTTAGATATAATTTATCATAATATTTTTTTTAGAAATGCAAAAAAGGTCGGTTTAAAATATTTAATCATAATTTTCATTATCTTCAGGATCTAATTCCTCGAAATCTCTTATTTTGACATCTGCGTCCTCGCCGTACTGTATAATGTTGTCTATGGTCAGAAGGATGTTTTCTATGCTTTCCTCGTCCTTTATATTTAGCGGGTAGAACCTCACTAAGCTGAAATTCTCTATGACCTCTCCGATGGCTTCTGTCAACTTCGCGTATTTTTCGTGCCATTTCGATTTTGCATTCCTCATGTCCGCGAGTAATACGTGCGGATCTGGATCTAAGTAACTGAAATAGAAGAATTTTCTTTGATTACAGAACTTGCTGGGATTCGCATATCGTCGTTTATATTACAACACCGCGCAAGTCAATTTTGCCAACTTTTCAGGAGAGACATAATACCTTGCCATTTATTGTTTTCACGTTCAGGTAGGTAATTTAGGGTTCAAAATGTTTGTAGTATAGATAAAGAATCATTTAAATATGCAACAGAGCTAGTATTTTTACAGTACTTTAAAAAAAATGACTTGTGCCGTATTTTGCCGTAGATGAATTGGACTTAGGCTGTGTTGGCTAGCTACGTTACTAGTAAAACAAAATCCTTACCAACGAATCATACATTTATTTGAAATAATAATTATTTTAGTTACATTCTTTATGAATAAAACATTTCAAAGATGAGTAAATCATTATAAAATTTATGATATGAAGCAGGTATGACAATTTTCAAATCCTGTAAGTCCAGATATTTTCGAGACGAAATTGGCAATCTAGCTGCATACAGCTTCGGTAGAGCGCTTAATGGATTTATTTTACTAAGAAGCGTGTGTCTTTGTGGTAAAGGCTTTACCTTTTCTTGGAAATCAAGTTTATACCATATTGTACCATCTGTGCTATACTTCAACATGCGCAAATCAGTGACTACAGGGTCACCTGCCTTCTTGCCAGGATGTATGGATTTGTACATTAAATCTTTGGAAAAATCTATGAAAAAGTATATTCTAACAATTTCGCATCAGGCGCAGGGTTTGTTCTTGCTTTTTTTGTATAGTCCACGTATTGCTTCGGTAAGTAAACTTCTTTATTTTTTAATTTACATTCGATTGCGGTGTGTACAGAATCACATTTCATTTTAGTGTGTCCTTTTTCTAAATACTTTTGGACTATCACCACCTTTTTTCAATAACTAAACGTAAAAGTGCATTATTGAACGTGGAATTGCGATTCTGTGCACAGCACCCATCTGAATATAATATGACAGGCATTGACTTTCTGTTTAAGGTTAATTGTAAATGGTCCACCAAATATGTAGCAAAAACTGACGCCTCGAGAGTGCCGTTTGATTCGTCAAACCTATAGCATAACACTGTAAATTATGAACACATAGTTTTTTGTAATAAATACTTAGCACTTGCTTGAAGAAATGGGTAAAGAGATGAAATTTTCCAGCTTCTGCTAAATATTTATGTATTGACTTTTCTCGCCTTACCTTTTTTTATGCAACATGTTGCGTATAAACTTCATCCCTGATATTAGCTGTTTTATGACCTACACAAACGTCACCCTGGTCTTTTTTAGAACGGAAAAGACTGAGATTGAGCTTTAAAAATGTGTCATCAAATAGTTTTCGTCAAACGGGTATGCAGGAATTTAATTCGCACGATTCCTTATATTTTTTATAAAGATCAGACATATTTTCAAACACCGGTTCTAAATAAGCCTTAGACGTGCTTGCACTGGTTAGAAAATTTCTTAAAAAATCTACTTCCTCAGTCTTTTCGGGACCTTTGCGTCCTTTCTGGGATGTCAGGTGGCACATCACAGTCAGTTTTTTGAAGCCAATATCTAATAAACCATTCCTTGACTCCTAGTATTGCAAGAAACATTTTTTTGCAGACTAGAATGCGGGCGTTTATTGTCTATAGTTAAAAAATATTCACGGCTTTCAGTTCTTTTTGAGTTTACACTTTTAACTACTTTTTTTCCACTTTCATAACGGGAGAGCAAACAAATGCTTTGCATTGTTCCCAAGACATTTGTTTCCAAAAAAAAATTAAATAAATGACTGTGTGACTCCTGACTTACGGAATAACATGCTCTTAAATTAGATTTTAAACAAAACGAAGAGTAGCATGCAGGATGCATGTGCCTTGCTGGCTTAAGTATTTTGTGTATGACGTTAAATTTATAATTGTTTTTCACTTTTCTGTCCCTTCTATAACCTAAGTAGCCCATGTTTTTACTCAATAATTTCCTTTTACTTGAGACATTGAAACCACTCTTTCGTCGATCCGCAGCTGACTCTTCTTCGGAGCTGTGATCACTAATATCATCCAAATTATCCTGCATGACGAATCATTGTAACAATAATGATCAATGTTGCAACAGCGCTCAAGTACGAAAATTAATTATAGTAAACACCGCTTAAGTAAACATTAGCAAAAAACAGTAAATTTATTTTAAAGTAAACCTATTTTCACTCAATTTCACTTAAAAAATACACTGTAATCATTTATTAATTGCAGAGCAACAAGTAGTCACCAAAAATAGTATGGCGGAATGAAGAGCTAAGCAGTGTTGACGAACCAACGGACTTGCGCGGTGTCACAATTTTTTGAATATCGCGTTCTTATTGGTAGAAAAGTAAAGATTGCCATAGGTAGGTCGAAGCGCGCGAAAAAGCTTTATCCAATGATATCAAAATTATGAAAACCGCCAAAATCGACTTACGCGGTGTTGTTATATAAACGACGATATACAGGATATCCATACAATATTCATTCATTCATTACAGTCAATCAAAAGTCCACTGCTGAACTTAGGTCACCCCATAGATTTCCTCGGGGGCGGATATTTGCCACATTTACCATGCTAAATCTAACCCTTGCTGCGGCTTGAGAGGCAGCATCACCAGTACGAAGGTATCGGCTATACACTTGCCAACCAGCTTGCACAGAGAGGTGAGTATGGGAGAACATTGGAAAACGATTATAAGTGATAGACCCAGTAATGAATTCAAACAAAATTTTGACAAAGAAAAGGGCTATTTCCAATTAATAATTATATATGTTCTTCACAGTATGAAAGGAACGTCGTATTAAGATGGGTATCTACGTCTATCCTCGTCCAAAAGGCAGATGCGCTGTCAGTCCTGAGGACTAAGATGGAATGCCATGTTTCCAGTAAAAAGGATCTCTGGTTCTCTACACTCACCATGTGAAACAGCAACAACATTGAGCTTGCTATTTTACGCTGGTATCCTGTGAGAGTGTGGTCCTTCCCCGGTTGAGCAGACTCACTTGTGCTACAACCAATAATATAGCTGCAGCATGACTCTACCACATGTTAAAAGTGATTATTTCTTGTGGTAAGGATTTAATTGTCTACTTACTTATCCAGTTGCTTCCTGGCTGTTTTGGTGAGTAGATCCATTTTTGATAAAACATTTACGTGAGATAATTCTAAATTTACCATTACACTAAGGGCAGCCATTGTCCCTGGAAAAATCATTAATTAAAATATAATATACAAGAGGTAATAGCAGAGGAGGTTGACGGCTCCGTGAAGCCGAGGCTCAGCAAGGAGTTGCAGCGCTAGGTGCTGCGGATTCTAATCCCGCACAGAACTACTTGTTTTATCCAGACCCGAAACAATTATATGTATAGCTTACAAATAATTGTTTCCTTGTGAAATTTATGTATGGAAAATACATGATACAGGAGAAATTCCTAGTGTGGAGGTAACGTTTTAAGAAACAAAAGGTTGAATTAGCGCCGTAATATAATTAACTACTCCTTATCATTGGTAAATGTTGAAATGAACAGGATAAAATATTTTTTTATTCAACACTAGCGATCCGCCAACATCATCTCGACAACAGCGCCACCTATCGGGTCCAATTGTGAATCTAAACACACACAAATATTCATCAGAATCGCTCCAGCCAGTTTCAAGTTTTCGCGAGACTAACGGACAGAAATTGATTTATATATATATATATATATTTATTTATTTATTTATTTAAAACTTCATATACACATGTGGTATATAGGCGGACTTAATGCCTAAGGCATTCTCTACCAGTCTACCTTGGGATGATGCAGAGATATAATGAAGTAGGAGTAATAAAAAGGTAATATTTTAATACTAAACTAAAATAACAAAAAAAATTGTAGCACATCGAAATAAAATACATAAGATATAAATGTTAATAAAAAAATATAATATATATATATATAATATATATATATATATTATATATAAAATAAATTATGATAAAAATAATAAGATAATAAAAATGTATATTACTTAAGTACATATTAAAACGTCAGATGTATGTAAACTCATGAAGATATACAATTATAGACATAATCAAATAAAATATATATATTTATATATAAAATGTATATAAACTATAACTATGATGAATCTGCCAATTTATTAGTTAAGTATTCCCGAACCTTCATCTTGAACGCGTAACGATTGCTAGCATATAGATAGATTACAGGAATACTTATTGAAAATCATTTCTGCTTTTACCATTGGTTCGGCTTAGAAAAAAACCTCTATCCTGGGAAGAATCATCAAGAATCCCAGCGGGGCTCTATTTTCAAACATTTATTTACAATATAACATGTTGTACAATTAAATATGACATTTGGAAACAGAATGATAGCAATCACTCCAATCCCAGGGGTTAATATCAACCATGTACTCTTTAGTAGTATAATAATCCTTATTAAACAATTTTTGTTAAATTAAAATTTTAAGCTTTTTGATAGATAAGTACTGCACATTTTCTTGGAATTTGTTGTAAAAGCGTTCATTGCCCCATGAATGAACAGGAGATTCGGCACCTTCCTGACCACAACTTAAAACAATAGATAACTGTGGTTGCCAACAAGCCTGCCAAGTATAGCAACTGTGACAAATATAATGCAAACTATCAATAGGCTTTTGCTCAGCAGACCTTTCAATGATAATGTTAGAAGAGGCTTAGTAAACTATGCTAATTATACTATTAAAAATTGATTTAATAGATATAGCTTGCGTTAATGGCTTTTATAATGGATAATCAAATGAAATTGTACAATATATGAGTATTTTCTTCTTATCAGCTAGTAACAGTACTCTTGGAGATGGACCTTCACAAACTTCGGCTAGTCCGTTTCAAAACCGAGTAAAACATAACAAAACAAATTGAGGTAGTCCTTAAAATTTTTAGATGAAGTGACACCCTAGTATGCAGCAAGATGACAATGCACATTCTTTTTGTTTTTAAGAATTCATCGTAGGTGGAAGGCAGACTTCATCTTACTGTAGAGAATTATTGTCAGTAAGATTTTGAACTGTAAGGCTGGCTTTTCACTATGGGATATAATATATATTATATCCCGCGATTGACTTTCACACTGTGAGATATATTATTTTTACAAGTGTGCATTCGTCATTGGTCATTGGATTACCCCCCTTTACCCTGTACACCGTTCTGCGGGGGCGCGGTACGGTGTGCGGGGTACAGGGGGCGAAATATAATATGAAAATATCGCTCGGTCGATCGAAAAAATATTTATAGCTTGAGATGTAATATATATTATAGCTCAGTGTAAACAGTTCCATATAAAATGTATGGTGAGCGATATTAATTTATATCTCGAGATGTAATATATATTATATTATATTCCATAGTGAAAAGCGGGCTTAACTGTGTAGTGACAGCGTAAGAATATCTTCTACCCCATATTGTCTTGATTATGTCGAAAGAGGCGACAGAGGAAACCAAACCAGGGTATGGGCAAGCAGCATCTTTCTGATAACAACTCAAAATATTAAAAAAACTACAGTTGCCAACACGCTTGCCAGGCGTGGCAACTATGGCAAAACCCTCCCATGAGGCAATCTATGAAGGCTTATGTTCAGCATTGGACTTTTATAGGCTGTGATAGATGGATGGAAGATTTAGAATAAAAATATTCTTTATGATGTTACTTATTGATATAGGATGGCCAACTTGGCTAGCAGATCAGCAATTGCAGTCCTACTAATAACATTAGAAATGTGAAAGTTTGTATGTATGGATGTGTGTTACTCTTTCACACAAAAACTACTAAATAGATTTTAATGAAACTTTACAATAATATAGCTCATATATCAGAATAACACATAAGCTATAATTCATAAAGATATTGTGTAAATTGGCCAAAATATAACGATAAGTGTTAAGTCTGAAAAATATCACAGATGACCTGTGAGCTATTTTGATGTGAACATGCGTCACCCAAAAACCTGTGAACTGATTTGGATGGGACTTCCACTAGCAGATAGCTGATGTTATAAGGAGTAACTTAGGCTACTTTTATTTTAGGGTTCTGCGTAAAAAAAATTCCACGCGGGCAATATAGCAGGGAACAGCTAGTATGTTATATAACTTGTTTTGATGTTTCACATTGCAAACTATTTTAACATTTGGCATATAAGAGATAACCATCAACCATCAGATGCTATCTTTATGAGACCACGAGACTTATTGGGGAAATGGGTTATCTTATACTACAGCTATAAGGACCTACCTGATAAGAATTTGGCACCATCAACCATAAACTGCGAGTCAATCATGAAGACAACACATATCCTGAAGTTCCAGCTCTGCAACAAGTCTACTATCTTGCGCATCACAGATAGGTGTGTGTAGAGCTCTATCTGACCCGGGCAGTCGAAAAGGATATAGTCATCATCAACATCACCCAGTTGCTCTTGTAGCCAGTCACTGTTTTCTAAGAGTGTTCTGAAAACAAGTTTTAGTTCTAAATTAAACTTATAGAATAGATTCAGCACTCGGGAGCAGAATACTCACTCAAAGTTCCATAACATACAAGCTTTCTTCTTATATAACCAAAAGAAGGTTTGGACTACCGCAATGTTAATTAACATTTTTTAATAAAGATAAATTAAATCTAACAATGCTGCTGATAATACTAAAACCAGTCGGCAAACCAAAATAAATGGGCACCACTAGGAGTGTTCACAAGCAATTAAACAGCAATTGTAAATTATTAATATGTATATTTTTATGATTTATCCATGTCTTAAATGAAACTAATTTTACAGATTTTATTGGGTTTCATTTAACTTGTTAATTCCCAATATTTTGAAATGTCTGTTCAACTTGTGAAGGAACAAAAATATAAAGGCTATGTTTGGTGTGTTTTCATTTCTAATTATGTTGAAATAATCTCCATTAATTTCGAGCTTTATAATTTTAATAACGGTTCCCAAACATTTAACTTATTTACTGCTAATTTAATATTTTGTGATGAATAGTAAACGAAATCTGCTAAATAGAGTTCTTGCAACATACCCACCGCAAATGCATTGTTACTAATAATATTTTTTTAAATAAAATAAAAATTAAAAAAATATGACTATAAATATACTTTAGTTTGAATTAACTTTCATTCTTTTTTATTTATATAAAACTAAAGTGACAAACAAATTATATCACTCAGCCTATGGACACCTGCAGCCACTCTAACAAAGAAGACTTCAGATGCATCGTCACCTCTGGCTACTGAGATAGAATGCCTTACAGTCTGTAACTATACTAGCTCTCTATACCATTTAGTCCAGAACACAACAGTGTAAGCACTGCTATTTGGCCACAGAAATAGTTAAGAATTATTAAAGAAATACCCAGATACGACTTCTAGGCAGAAAAGTAAAAAACATATTAGTTTGCTAAAGTTATGTGTAAGAAAAAATTTTTTTTGATAATCTATGTAAGAGGTTAAACACCTCACATTCAAACCTTGACATTCATTTATGAGTATCAATATTTTTGAATTTATTGAATTTAAAATTAACCTATTTATTTTAATTTCTATGGGCTTGAATAACTTTGAACTATATTATGGTTGTAGCATGAATGGGTCGGCACGACCTGGGTAGGACCAATCTCTCATAGGATACAAGCGTAAAATAGGAGCTTGATGCTGTTGTTTCACATGGTCAATGTAGAGAACTGTAGACCCTTTTTACTAGAAATGAGGCATTCCATCTCAGCCCTTGGGATGACAATGCATCTGTATTTTGATTCTTAATTGCACAGCAACCACTTACCGTCAGGTTGACTGTGCACTTGTTTGTCCCCTTTTCTAATATAGCAGGTATTTTTAAGTTTAATTTAGTTCACACATAAATTGAGAACACAGCTTTCATGTACTAGGCATCTAGTGAGAAATTTACAAGGGCACCTATGTACATCATCACTGAATGTTTTAGACAAAACTATTGTTGTGTTGCCTGTAGATTTCAGTTTACTTGTACCAAATTATAGACAATAATAATATTGATTACTAACTCAATGCAAAACACAAGTCCACCATTTGGTCCAAACTGAAGCTCTTCGTCTTCCATTGCATCGTCTAAATGGATCAGCTCCCTGATGTCAACAAGTGGTTCATAATCAAAGTGTTCTGCTGCTGGATCGAGATTCACCACCTCAATTATCCTCTTGGAATCGCTGGCATGTTTGACAATGGTTGAGCAGTAGGTAGACTGGAATATATAGGCGATGATTAAAAAATATTTTAATTTGCCTTAGAAACTTTGACTTTGAAATAAAACGGTGACTTGTAGCTGATAATGAAAAATAATTAAACAGACTTTTCTAATAGTAAAAATCAGTAGCTCGTTACTGTTCAAGTTATGTATTGTATTGTATCGGAACTTAAATGACCTTTCCACTTCCTGCAGGTCCAACAACTAACTGGGCGTATCTCATTTTGCTTTAAACATGAAAACAATCAAACAACACAAAAATTTAGGTTAAGTCCCTTTATTTTTCTCATGCTCCATTAATCAGAACCAGAAAGCTTGAATAAAACTGATTTGTTTTTAAGATATATATTTATTGAAAAAATAATAAGTAAACAATCTGAAAACTGTTTTATTTCTTATAACATGAAAAATTAAATATGAATTTAAAAAAATATTTTCAACTTTGACATGCCGAGCCGTTGTTGTTGTTGTTGTTGTTTTTATTATTCCCTCGAGAGAGCAGGCAAAGGAACTATGTCATACAGCCTTGTCTTTATGTATAATTATCCTTTATGGTTCACTGCTTCACAATATGTTGATGCGTCACATTGTGCAGCCTTTGGAAGATTTTGACGGCAACTTGAGCCAGCAGGCAGCTGATAGTTGGCGATGGTATCTAAAGGCACCTATGCAAACAAACAGCTTATCTTGAGAATCCATCACCATCAGAGCACTTGTTTAACAGTTTCTACTAATAGTTCACATGCGTAGACACTTAACACGTTCATGCACACAGTTCAATATAGTAGCTCTATGTGATATTGCACATAATTTTTTCATACAAACTAAAGCGACGTCTAATGACGCTGTGCAATAACTGATAATATTAGTATTGAAATATATTACGCTGACGTCCTATGACGTCACTAAAATTTCGTTTATGAGAGTCAAAAATGCTTTCATAACTAGAATACTCTGAATCGTCTGTGATGCTATAAGAATTTTCTGATGCGGAATCCGATGTAGATCTAACATCAGAAGCAGATCGTAAATTGGAACAAGTACTCTTTTTGACATGCAATAATGACTTTTTGCGCTGTTTGCCCCGCTCAAACTGCGAAATGCCAATGTCACTGGAGCTGTCGTCATCATTATCACCAATTGGGCCGTAATCGGTATCTGATCCAAACTCTCCATCGTTAACAAAAGGGACTGGCGTGGTTTCCCGGGATGAAGAAAGCTCATAGATTTTCATTGAAGGTTCCTTTTTTTTGACTCATTTTATATATCTAAAACAAACAAAAAATACAAAATATGTATTTTGAACATATTCAGACTTATTACAATAAAGTAAAATATATTTATATAATATATATATCGTAGTAAGATAACATTTAGCGTCAATATTCCATGTGAACATAAAATTGGCGCACGCACTAGCCCCGCAACGCGCACAAGTCGACTGATGTAATGAAACTTCTTTTGCGAAACGACGTATAGTGACGTTGTGCGCTAACAAAGTGGGTACTTAGTATCAGGGAGGAACGCCATCTAAGAAGCCAAAAAAAATTGGTTCGGTGTGGCACTACAATTTTGAGAATTCGATATGTTGTGGCACAGTAACCCAAATTTAAAACATTAGTATGGCCAGACACCGTACCATAACGTTGTGCTCAATAAATCGAGTTATTGCTGAACGTAATAATACGTTGTGCCATATCATATCTACAAATATGTGACGTACATATACGTTGTTCGCATGAACGTGTTAATACACAAAATCGCACCACTTTTACATATCAAAGTCCACTTCAAACCGTTATTTAAACAATAATACAGGAGCAGCAAACCGCCGCCGGTCTAGTTCCCGTCAAAACTCACAACATAGATAAATATATATGTAGCAAGCCAACTCACAATATAATAAATATTAAAGTCAAAGAGTATATATAGTAACTGTCATAATAATTAACATACATGGTAGCTGACAGCTAAGCATATCGATCTAAAATCGATTAATCGAAAAGTCGATTATTAGAGTAAAATAATCGATTTTTTAGATCGATTGGGAACACTACATCGATCGATGAATCGATCCAAAAACCTCTCGAATCGGATTGATTCAAGAACTAGCGATACAGTTCCTAAACTGGTTGCGGTATCGTAGTTTTTTAATTTCTTTCTGTTCTCTGACGCAATTTGAACGCATAAAAATAATAATTATCAATGCATTCAAAGATGTCGTTATTTACTAATAATAAAATGACCATTTTATTATTAGTAAATAACGACATCTTTGAATGCATTGAAAATAACGTAATATATATATATATATATATATATATATATATATATATATATATATATATATATATATATATATATATATATAAATATTACGTTGATGAACTTTTAGAATGTAATGGATGTATGGAAATATATATATTATAAGTATTTTATAAAAATATTACGTTATTAAACTGCTTTCTATTGCTAACAAAAATCAAATTAATTTATTTTCTTACTCCATCCATCCATTACATTCTAAAAGTTCATTGCTGTGCCTAGGTCTCTATTACAGATTGCCTCATAGGGAATTTTGCCAGAGCTACCACGCTTGGCAGGCGGTTTAGCATCCGCAGATTTTTATTATTTTGTGTCTACTTCACTTGGTCTTTCTTGATTTTGTTGCCAAAATCCAGAAATCACCCATGCTAAGCCGGGGTGGATATAAAATAAAAAATATTTCACGGCAAATAATTTATTTGATATGATAATTTGTAACTACAAGTGCATCGTATAGTATAATAATATTCAAATCACAGCGATTCTAAAGTAGTTTTTACTTCAAAAGATATTAGCTTAACCGGCCACACGAAACTGGTGCACAAGCCAGAATAGTGTGCTACTAGCTGAAAAAGAGGACTCCATCTTGTTTAACCATCCTGGCTTTAGATAGTAACTTATTAGCCCAGAAGTAAAGCTTATTCTGTATAATATAAAGTCAGAGCAACTAGCTTGCTAACTTATAACTTACAAGCACAAGTTGCTATCTGTGCATTAAGTATCAAAATCGTCTTCAAACTATTATTTAAACGATAAAATTGGAGCAGCAATCATCTGGCGGTTAAATTCACGCGAAATTCCCCTAGCCTCTCTAATTGTTAGAGAAAATATAATTTTGCATATTTAAAAATAAATAAAAATACATATAGGTAGGTGTTACTAAATCTTAAAAGTTGATTGAGTTCACATCACTAAAAAATGGGCGGAGCTTACAGCGTCCGCCATTTATTGTTTCAATTTGACACGATTTTTTTTGTAGGCTTGCCTTCTCCTCTATTTTCTATGCTCAAAGATCGACATGCCTGCTAACAGCTGTCACCAGTCACCAAGTTACCAAGTGTTTAAGACAATTTTGCCGAATTCCAGAGCTTAATAAATTAGCTTAATTTCGCTAAAATCTGCCCATGGACACACACTTTGTAATTCTTTATGAACCATGAAAGCGCATTTGTCAGCACCGTACACGTAGTATACCCCGTACGCGTATTTTCAATAAGTGGAAAGATGGTCACTCCACCATTAACTCACTTAAGCCTCGTATCGATTATGCGCTTCAAGAGGATGGCGAACATTGGCGCGCGTTCCAGCCGCGTGAAATGGATACCACCTTGGAACGCGTTCCAAATTGTTCGTTGGAACGCTCAAATGTGGATTCCATCTGGTGTCGGTTTTTTGCCGCGTTTCATAGTAGTTAAGGTTTGGCGCGTGCGCTAGTTGGGACGGTTATTTTCATCATCCGTGTGATCGTTGCGTTCCGAGCTATGGATAACCAAAGTTGCCGTAATTTGGTAAAATTATATGGTTCAAAAGAACTGCTGTGGAGTAGCAAAAATCGTTATTATCATAATAAAGCGCTGAGGGAAGATGCATGGAACTATGAAAGCGGCAGCTGTTCGTACACGACCGACATCCATGTTGAACGGTCAAGCACTGAAACAGATGCCGCGCGTGCCGGGCGCGTTTAGTTGATACATTTGGAACGCGTTCCACGGAACGCACTGGTCTGCGCGGTCTTTCGCGCGTCTAGCGCGTAATCGATGCGCGGCTTTACACATTTCAAAATATATTTTTACTTTATTTCAACAGTATATATACTTTTACTGTGTAGGCAATAATGAGTCGTTCATACGTCCATGTGTCAGACAAGACATGCGAAAGACCATCCATCCATCAAATGCAAATATCTAAAAAATCGGTCATGATCATCTAATAAGTCTTTATGTATATGGACAATATTATAATATTATATATATGTATAACGTAAAATATTTTCCATAAAACTGCCTTTTTAAATAAATATCGTGAATCCAGCATCTTCTTTCTTTTCAAATTGCGATCAATGTCACACCAGAGGTAAGAAAAAAAACTGCAAAAGTTGTTGGCAATATATAAAGATTTGCGTACGGCGCGTACGTTCCAATGTACGAGGCCACCAATAAATGCGGTGCGTACGACGCGTGTGGCGCTTACGGTGTTGATAAATGTGTATTCACCTTTTGATCTGTATGTAAAGCCGGTCTACATGTTGGCCGAACGAAGGCGAGTGCGAACGTATAGACAGCCCATTTGTCTAGTCTCGCCATTGCTCGTCGACGCTCGCCTAGCTGGCCGATTGCAGGCGAGTGCCAACGTGTATACGGTTCGTTTGGCGTACCTTGCCTGGTGGCAAGGTACGCCAAACTCGGGATCGCTTGCTACGACTCGTCTCACTTCGGAATAGTGTTGGTTTTTCTGCACAGATCAAACGCGCTCGCCTGCACTCGGCAAGTCGTGGACGCGACTTGCCGAGTGCAGGCGAACGCGTGTTAGGCCATGTCACTTACAGTGGCGTTCGTCCCAATGAGATGTTATGTTTTAATTAAGTTGCAACTTCAAAATAATTTCGACAATGTCACTGCCTCTTCTTTTTTACAACTTTACTGCATAGTTCACTGACATAATAATTATATGCAGTCATTAAATAAGTAGCAGAAGCTGCAAGAACTTTTACGTCTTCCATATCGTTCCAATTCTCAATGAAAACTAATTCCGGCCAACATGTGGGTAGCTCGACAAAATCTCGTGAACATTGGCAGTTGGCATTGGTCTCTTTCGAACTTGACCAACGTGTACACTGTAGCACTCGCTTTGTGTGAATTTGCCTACGCTCGCGTTGCCTGAAGCTTGGGCAATACAGCCGGGGTAATTTTGATGTACCTACCGCGAAAAAATGTTGTTATCTCATTCCTCTTTCGGTAGAGAGTATTAGGTATTACTAAGTAAACACTGGTTCTGCGCAGTGATGAAAGCCTCATAAATGTATACACAATTTCATAATCACGCTATTAATTTAGATGACATAAATAGCGATAAATCGCCGCTTTTATATTTGTTGGTTTTTTTATAGTTTAAGGGTGACAAACGAGCACACAGTCCACCTGATGGTAAGTGGTTGCTGTGGCCCATAGACATCTGCAACTATCTTCGTTTGCGAATTAAAGTGCTGATGCGTTGTCAGCCGTGAGGATTACGATAGAATACCTCTTTTCCAGTAAAATGGGTCTCAGGTTCTCTACACTCACCATACGAAACACAGCAGCATTAAGTTGCTATTTTACGCTGGTATTCTGTGAGAGCGTGGTCCTTCCCCGGTCTAGCTGACTCATTCGTGCTACAACTTACTATTAATATAGCTGCAGCATGGCTCTACCACGTAAAGATGTTGATAAAAGTGTGCCGTAAATATCCTAAGCTGCGTCAAATTGCCCAAGTTGGTATTAATATTTATTGTCATGGAACAAAGGTTGCATTTATTATCAAATTGTTTTATTATAAATAGTAATGCGATAATGCTGGCCATAAAGTACATTATGTTCCATATTTTATTTTAACATTTAATAAAAAAAATACTACAATTTTGTTTTACTGTCAAATTCTTTGCGCATACAAAACAAATTAATTTTTCCGATATATTAAACATGCCGGCTGTTGGTATTGATTTGGGGACGACATACTCATGTGTCGGGGTGTGGCAGCACGGGAATGTGGATATTATCGCCAATGATCAGGGAAACCGCACTACACCTTCATACGTCGCTTTTACAGACACCGAGCGGCTAATTGGAGATGCAGCTAAGAATCAGGTAGCTATGAACCCTGATAATACTATTTTTGATGCTAAACGTTTGATTGGTCGTAAATTTGACGATACCAATGTACAACAAGATCTAAAACATTGGCCATTTAAAGTCATAAATGATGGTGGAAAACCAAAAATACAAGTATCTTACAAGGGCCAAACTAAAAAATTTGCTCCCGAAGAAATAAGTAGTATGGTGCTGTCGAAAATGAAAGAGATAGCGGAAGCTTACTTAGGCTGTGTCGTAAAGAGTGCAGTTATAACTGTACCAGCTTATTTCAATGACTCTCAGAGGCAAGCTACGAAAGATGCCGGAGCTATCGCTGGGTTAAACGTTCTTCGTATTATCAACGAGCCCACTGCCGCTGCATTGGCTTATGGATTGGATAAAAACTTAAAAGGAGAACGGAATGTTTTGATTTTTGATTTAGGTGGTGGTACTTTCGACGTGTCTATATTAACCATTGATGAAGGTTCGCTCTTTGAGGTTAAAGCCACTGCTGGTGACACCCATCTAGGTGGTGAGGATTTCGATAACAGATTAGTAAACTATCTTGCAGATGAGTTCAAAAGAAAGTACAAGAAAGATCTTAGGTCAAATCCCAGAGCATTACGCCGTTTACGCACTGCAGCAGAAAGAACAAAAAGAACACTTTCTTCCAGCACAGAAGCCAACATCGAAATAGATGCTTTATATGAAGGAATTGACTTTTTCTCGCGGTTATCTCGAGCAAGATTTGAAGAATTAAACGCTGACCTATTTCGCACTACTTTAGAACCTGTAGAAAAAGCCTTGAAAGATGCAAAAATGGATAAAAATTCTATTAACGATATTGTTTTAGTTGGTGGCTCAACCCGAATACCTAAAATTCAAAGTTTACTTCAAAACTTTTTCAATGGCAAAAAGCTTAATTTATCTATAAATCCAGATGAAGCTGTAGCATATGGAGCAGCAGTACAAGCAGCTATATTGAGTGGAGAAAGTCATTCAAAGATTCAAGACGTATTACTTGTAGATGTAACACCTTTGTCTCTAGGTATAGAAACGGCTGGTGGTGTTATGACAAAGATAGTTGAACGTAATGCTAAGATCCCTTGTAAACATTCGCAAACCTTTACTACATATTCAGATAATCAACCAGCAGTCACCATTCAGGTTTATGAAGGAGAACGAGCTATGACTAAAGACAATAACCTCTTAGGCACCTTCGACTTGACAGGAATTCCTCCTGCACCTCGTGGTGTGCCACAAATCGATGTTTCATTTGATATGGATGCAAATGGAATTCTTAATGTTTCTGCTAAAGAAAACAGCACAGGTAAGAGTAAGAATATAGTTATAAAGAACGATAAAGGAAGACTTTCTCAGGCTGATATAGATCGAATGTTAGCTGATGCTGAAAGATATAGAGATGAAGACGATAGACAAAAAGATCGTGTTGCAGCACGCAACAAATTGGAAACTTATGTATTTGGCGTGAAGCAAGCTGTAGATGAGGCTGGTAGCAAACTAAATACTGCGGAATCTACGAAAGCGAGAGATAAATGTGAGGAAATTTTACGTTGGTTGGAAAATAATTCTTTAGCAAAAAAAGATGAATACGAGGATAAATTCAAGGAAGTTACACGTATATGTGGACCTATAATGCAAAAATTGCACACTAGCGGTGGCAGGCCTCAACAGGCCGGAGGCAATGAAGGTCCTGTAATCGAAGAAGTGGATTAAAAGTTACTGTTTGTTTTATTGGTCTTTTTAAAATTCATTCATAAATTATTAAAAAATAAACGTTTGGTATTTCAATTTATATTCCAAATCTTATAGATGTTAGTTTACCAGAATATATATATATAGCTTCATCACAGTTACGAGACATCTTGTACTGCAATCGTCAATATACTTGCCAAGCGTGAAGATTAAAGCGTCTCCCACACACAAGCGGCTTGCGGTGGCGGCTAACCGCGAGCCGCGGCTCCAGCCGCTGCAACAACACACCACCGCGGTCGCAGTGGCGGCCTGAAGTTCTATTCGCTGTGGTGTCTGCTACGATCGGATGTCAGTCAACATGGCTAACCATGGCGATGTCTTTTTATTCTTATTATATTCATCAATATTAACCCCTATTTTGTTTTTAATACTAATGCTTTTGTAATCAAGGTGTGAAGTATCACAAAGTACTGGATAATTTTGCACTTTTTCTTTTAAAATCTCTGTATTTAGCGCCATTATGCATGCGGTACACGCGGCCTGTTGTAAAAATTTTCAACTGACCGCGCTGCGGCCACCGGTTACCGATAGAAACCTAACAGGCGGAGGGGGCGGGGCATTCGGTCGCGGCCAGCCGCTCGCAGGCCGCGTCATGGCCGCACGGGTTTGCAGGCTCACTTACATTGCAAGCGAATACAATTGGCCGCCATCGCGACCGCCACCGCAAGCCGCTCCTGTGTGGGAGACGCTTAAGGCAAACCTTTCCTAGGTATAACCTATGTCCAGTCTAGTCTAGCTGTAAAACCAGAACAATTTTTTTTACAGAATAAACAAACGAGAACACAGTCCACGTGATGGTAAGTGGATTCTGTGGCCCATAGACAACTACATCTATCCTCGATTAAGAATCAAAATAGAGATAGAATGCCTTGTTTCCAGTAAAAAGGAGTCGTCTGTTCTCTACACTCCCATACGATACACAGCAGCATTGAGTTTCTAATTTACGCTGGTGTTCTTTGAGAGCGTGGTCCTACCCCGGTCAAGCCGACCTATTCGTCTACAACCTGCAACTTGGCTTTACCACATAATAATAATAATGTCTTTCCGAACGCAGATCACGACCGCTAGCTTCAACGGAGACTAGAAATCGGCGCAGGACAGGATTATAGTGTCCAAGTGTATGCGCACAGGTGCACTCTCTATTTCCTTACTCTCATAGTCCGATGGGACGGTAAACCAACACGACCGGAGAGAGATCAGGCGCAGGATCAACGGCTTTACGTGCTTTTCGAGACACGGGGTTGAGACACCGCCAACTTTCTGACTCTGGCTACTAAACATTTCTTGATGGAAAAGCTCAATAACTGATTTTTTTGGTCAAATTCGTCTCTAAAAGTGTCTACTACTTATAAATGTAAGATTAATATTAATCAAACTATTATCCCGTAACCCTAACACTAACTAAAATTATATTTTTTAGGTAAGTTGCGGACACAGCGATTTTGTGGTCTTCTTTTTTTTAGGATAGGGTGACAAACGAGCACACAATCCACCTGATGGTAAGTGGTTGCTGTGACTCATAGACATCTACATTTATCCTCATTAAAGAAGCGTCAGTAGCATAATGGCAGGGCGCGGACCGCAAACTCAAAAGGTCGTGGGTTCGAATTCGCCATTCGACTACTGTCGTGAACCACTCACTTTCTAACACAAGCATTTTAAACTTACCAGAAGTGGTTAAAGGGAATATTAGTAATGTTAAAATGTAATAAGAATATTGTAAATGTAGCATTACTAGTATTTAAAAAAAATGCAGATGCGTCGTCACCCGCGAGGACTAAGATGAAATGTCTCTTTTCCAGTAAAATGGGTCTCCGGTTCTCTACACTTACCATACAAAACACAGAAGTATCAAGCTGCCATTTTACGCTGGTATTCTGTGAGAGCGTGGTCCTTCCCCACTCGAGCCGACACATTTGTGCTACAACTATACTACTAATATAGCTGCAGCATGGCTTTACCACGTATAAACCACAGTCTGTTCGGAAGCACGGATTATTATTTAATATTCCATGCTCGTCGTTATGTCAACTTAAATCTAGTGTATACTAACTCTTTATACTCCAAGTACACCACAGAATCTTAATTAATATTCAGTAGCGTATGTAGAAAACTTCAAATGTTTTCGAAACATGTGACATGCAGGTTTCCTCACGATGTTTTCCGTCAGCGGCTAGCACGTGGTAAAATCAGCACTTAAAATTGGAATTAACAATTTCATTGGTGCCGGCGGGGATCGAACCCAGGTTGCAGAGTATAGCTAACTAATATATTATACTAGATAAAAGGGCCTTTTAATAATTTGAAAATGAAAAAATTGAAATCAAATGTTTAGTGGTCATATTTTCGATTGGGCAATAATACAGGTACGTATAAAATAAATTTTTATACGTGGTAGAGCCATGCTGCAGCTATATTATGGTTGTAGCACGAATAGGTCGGCTCGACCGGGGAAGGACCACGCTCTCACAGAATACCAGCGTAAAATAGCAGCTTAACGCTGTTGTGTTTCGTATAGTGAGTGTAGAGAACCGGAGACCCTTTTTACTGGAAACGAGGCATTCCATCTTAGTTCTCACGGGTGACAACGCATCTGCTTTTTGATTCTTAATCGAAGATAGATGTAGATGTCTATAGGCCACAGCAACCACATACCATCAGGTGGACTGTGTACTCGTTTGTCACCCTTATCCTATAAAAAAAAATTCATCACGTGAAGTAGTTGTTTAAGTCTCTTTATAGAAAATTTTTGTTTCCTTTCGTCACGTACGATTTATAACTGTATAACAAAGGTTGCAACTTTGTCGTTTAGTCTCTTAGTAATTTTACAGTAGTGGAGGTTGCCTCGTTGGTTAGTGGTTGTAAGTGCAACTTCTGTTCCTGTGGTCTATGGTTAGTATCCCAAGTTGGGATTTTTTTCATTTCATTCATTGTGGGACAATTTTGTGAAAATTTAAAGGTAATTATTTATGAAAAAAAAGTCGGTAATGTTCATACTTACCATTTTAGAAGGTAAGCAAATTTATACATAAAATTGACTACAATTCGACGGTAAAATAACTTAACAATTTTTCAAGTTAAATTAACAATAAATTGACATAAAATTTGCCTGAAAATTGATGACTTTTCTCTAGCCAACTTTTGAAGTGAATTTGCATTCTAGTTCTGGCTGTACACCAGTAAATTTACGTTAAATTCAATAGCAAGTTGTATACAAATTGTCGTAAAAAATGGAAAAGTTCGAAGTTGACGGAAATTTGACGAAAAATTCAAGGAATTTTTTGTAAAGTATACTGTTACGGCCCACAGCTGCCCCTGCAAAGGTCGCCTTGCGACGGGCAGCCGAGGATTCAGGTCCAAGTGGCCTTATGGAAAAATTACCTATCATACTACACAATAGGGAGAAGGCGAGGTAAATAAATAGTACGTACCTGGATCAGAATCTAAGACCGACCCAAGGCTCGGTCAGGCCGTAGGTAGAGTAGATGCATGTGAAGTGGTGTTTAGTGGTGTGTATATGTAGGTGACCTAGCCCAGCTGAGGTGACCTGGCAGCGGCCGGTTTCCATGCTGCCCCACAATGCTGCATCACTCCAGCAGGCGTCGACAATAGACAATTTCTTTCTTCATTTCACTATTTAAGTCTATCAACTTTATTGTACATTTAACTAACTTCAACTCGACTAATTCAACGTTCATCGTAGAATCGAATACGTGATACCCGACACAAGTAACGAACAGTAGTTCAAAGTTCCTCATTCAATGTCTCGGATTCATTTATCACCAAATTACAAATAGGGAACTAACGCGATCTCTTCATGAGTCACAGGGTTCAGCGTTACAAACACAACTAAGCTCCATCGTTCGATATTAAATAATACGCTGCACTAAGAATTCAAAATCAACCTAGCTGACACGCAAACTAACACACAAAAGGCTCTTAATTAAACAATGATTTCCAAAACAATCAACCGGGCGACGCCTCGAAAAGGAATGCGCGGTTCAATTCCCGACCGTATCTCTACTCGGCGCGCGCGCAAATTCCACGTCACACGAGCAAGTTAAATATTGTAAAATGCACTTCAACACGCAATCACTATATAATTGGCGCAATTACTTTCAAACGAAATTACTTTAATCATCCAAATACAATACGAGCCTCTTGTCATGAACTTAAAACCTAGACAAACCAAACCGAGGTGGTTTTCACGAAACCACAATTACGTAGCGAAGTTACGCGCACAAATTCTAAAAATCTAGACCATAACCCAAAACCGGTCGCGCGAAACTTCGGCAGCGGCCACCGAGACACGCTAATTAACTGCATCGCTGCCCGCGAGCTACTGTCTCTCGCCCGACAGTGCCAAGCGCTGGGAAGCTGCTTTCCGCTGCCCCCTCCCCGCGACACGCGTGACACCTGGTACCATCGGGCGATTCACTAAGTCTAAACATATACTTTTGGTAAAGCAAACTGGAATATCTGTGATGCAGAGGGGATTCCTCGTACCATCGATTGCAATATTTGCTATATTGAAATCTATGGTACGGGGAATCCCCTCTTAAACTAAAATAAATATAAACTAGAGATTGATATTGATTGATTACGATATTTGCCATAGTTGCCACGCTTGACGAGCGGGTTGGCAACCGCAGTTTTTATTGTAATATTGCTGTTATCAGGAAGATGCCGCTGCCCATCTCCTGCCTGCTTCCCACTGTCGCCTCTTACGAAACCCATGGGAAGCTATGGGATCTTTTGGAAGTAAATATGCAATAATATTTTTATGGAAAAATAAGTAGCAAGTGTTGTACTATTTTGAAATCTTAATTAAATGGGCCATTTTTTAAAACAACTTGCCTATGGTAGTATCGTACATTTTTTTAAAGACGAGGCTCAAAGTTATTTGTTAAAACGTTATTAACCATGACTTAATTTAACTTTACTTTTTGTACTAAATTTAC